CAGCCCCCCCAGACCCCGACCCGAATAGGGACAACCCCAGACCCACACAGGAACAGCCCCCCCAGCCCCAAATGGGGACAGCCCCCCCAGGACCCTACACAGGGACACCCAATGCCCCCCCACCCACATGGGAACAGCCCACCTGGCCCCAAATGGGGACAGCCCCCCCAGGACCCAACATGGGGACACCCAATGCCCCCCCACCCACACAGGAACAGCCCCCAGGACCCCAAATGGGGACAGGCCCCCCAGGACCCCACACGGGGACACCCAATGCCCCCCGCCCACCTGGGGACAGCCCCCCCGGCCCCCCCCGGGGTCACCCACCAGCACTTTGCCGTTGATGCACTGGGCCAGGGGCAGCCACTCGAAGACCTCGCTGAAGAGGGCGAACATCTGCGCCGTGTACTTGGCCTTCACCTCCCCTTCGAAGCCGTAAATCTGGTTCATGTTGTCCGTCTCGTGGTTCCCTGGGGGGACACGAAGCGGGGGGGCCCCCAAAATCAGCCCCGAGGATTAGGGACACGCCGGGCAGCCGGGACAGGGGGCGAGGCGCTGAGGATGTGGGATGGGGGAGCCAGGGGGAGCGCGGCCTCTCGGTGGAGGACGGGGACGTGGGGCAAGGACGAGGCACCGGTGACATCGGCTCAGGGAATCCTGGGGATGGGGCAGCCCCAGGATGTCCCCCAAAAGGGACACGGGGCATGGCGCTGCGGCAGGGGACATGTGGCAGCCCTACAACCAAGGACAGGGGACGAGGCCCCAAAACATGGCCCCAAAACCCAGGACAGGGGACAAGTCCCCAAAACCCAGCCCCACAACCAAGGATGGGGGACGAGTCCCCAAAACCCAGGACAGGCAACGAGTTCCCAAAACCCAGCCCCACAACCAAGGACTGGGGACGAGTCCCCAAAACCTGGCCCCAAAACCCAGGACAAGGGGCAAGTCCCCAAAATCCAGGACAGGGGACAGGGGACAAGTCCCCAAAACCCAGCCCCACAACCAAGGACAGGGAACGAGTCCCCAGAACCCAGGACAGGGGACAAGTCCCCAAAACCCAGCCCCACAACCAAGGACAGGGAATGAGTCCCCAAAACCCAGGACAGGCGACGAGTCCCCAAAACCCATCGCTGCAGCCAAGAGCGGGGCACACAGCCTTGTGGCCCCAGGCATGGGACCCAATCCCAGGATGTGGGGACAAAACCCCACAGCCAGGGCTGCTCAACGTAACCCCACAACCTGCCCCATCACACCCAGCACCCGTGGTGGCCCCGTTACCTCGCAGCAAGTGGAAGTGATCGGGGTAGAGCAGCTTGAAGCCGAAGAGCGTGAGGATGACCTCGACCGAGAAGGAGCCGCGGTCCACGAAGTCCCCGTTGAATATCTGCGGCTGGTTCAGGAAAAAAAAAAAAAAAAACACTTTTCCCCCTTTTCCCCACCCCACCCCGCCACGTCCCCTCGGCCGGGGGGGGATACGTAGGGGTTGGACTCGGAGGGCAGCCCGTTGAGCTCGAAGATGTTCAGCAGGTCGTAGTACTGCCCGTGGGTGTCCCCGCACACCGTCAGCTTCTCCGTCTGCGTTCGGGATCAAACGTCACCACCCAGAATTTGGAGGGGGGGGGGAACCTCCAAATGGCCCCCCCACCCCCCAACAAGGTGGTCCCAGCACCCGGCGAGGGGGGCACCCACCTCCTTCAGCGTCGTTTCTACCAAGGTGGGCAGCTTGGCCAGCACCTCCTTCACCTGCACCAGGATCTGCTGGGGCAAACGGGCAGCGGGGACAGGGGGGGGGGACACACAACGGGGGACATGTGGCACTCCGGGGACGGGGTCGTCCCCACCGAGGGGCTTGGGGGGGGTTTTGGGAGAAGTGGGGCACCTGGTAGGCGCATTTTCTGTGGAGTTTCTTCTGCTCCTTGTACCACTGCATCAGGTCCTTCATGAAAGCCAGCGTGACTTTGCCGTCCTCCAGCTTGGGGCCGCTGTACTCGTCCTCGATGGCTGCAAAACGAGGCCCCCCCCGAAACCCCCCCCGGCAGCTGGTGACACAAGGGGACAACGGGGACAAGTTGGGGTGCTCGCAGGCACCCCGAGGCCCTCCTGAGGACCCCAAAACTCTTCTGGTGACCCTCGCGGGGACTCCGAGACCACCACAGGGACCTCGTGGGTCCCTCAAGACCCTTCAGGACCCCCCCCCCTGCAGTTCCTCAAGGTTCTCACTGGAACCCAGAGCCTCAACCTGGGACCCCAAAGCCCCCCCCAGGACCCTTCCAGGTGATCCTGAGGTTTTGCCAGGGATCTTCGCGGGGATCTGCCCCCCCCAAGATCCTCATGGGGGCTCTGAGCCTCCAATGGGGCCTCTCAAAAGGACTCCAAGACCCCCAAGGAGACCCCAGGCCTCTGCTAGGACCCTTCACAGCCCCCCACAACCCCTGTGGGGACCCTGAGCCTTCCGTGGGGGCACGCACAACCCCAATGAGACCCCCACAGCCATCCGAGACCCCCTAGCAGAGCCCCAATCTCCCCCAGGCCCCCCAGAGCACCCGGGACCCTCCGAGAGGACCCTAAACTTTTAGCAAAGACCCCAACCCCCCCCGCCAAGCAGCTCCAGGACCCGTTTCTCCTGCCCTGCCCCTAAAGAAAGCAGCATCTGGATTTCGGGGTGGGGTGGGGCGGGGGGGGGGGGACACGGGGAGAGCCTCACTCATGCTCTCGATGTCGAGGGAGTCGACGACGGAGCGCTTCTGCTCGTCGCTGGCGATGGCCCGCTCGAAGGCCTTCTGCTTGACAATTTTGTTGCACTCCTGGTACTTCAGCTTGGCGTCCTTGTCATTCGGCCTCACCTTCACCACCTGCGGGGCCCAAGGCATCAGGGGACGGGGACAGGGACACGCGCCCCCCCCTCAAACCCCCCCAAGGTCCCCGAGGATTTCTCTGCCTGCAGGCGGACGCGCGCCCCAAGGCACCCCACAGCTCTGATGGTCAGGGAGGGGAACAAGGGGGGGCCCTGACAGCACTCAGGGGGCATCAGGAGGTCCCCAGGTGGCCCCAAAATTTTAGGGCATGTGGAGAGGGGGGCGATAAGGCCCTCAGCGGGCAGGGAACTCACTAACAGCGTGGGGACGGACACAAGGAAACCCTCACGCTCGTTTTTTTTTTGGAGGGGGGGTCTGAGACAGCTCCCCAGAGCCCCCCTCCTCATTTTTGGGTGCCGTCAGCACGGCAGGGAGGCTCTCCCAGCCCTCCTGGACAACCCACAGGGCTACCCCCACCAACAGCCCCCAAGGGCTGCTCCGACACTGGGCGGGGATCCCCGAACCGCTGAAAAAAAAGGTAAAAAAAAGACAAAACAAAGCCCCCAAGCCCCCCCCCACTCCAGCCTCACCGTCTCGTAGTCACGCAGGGCGGCCTTGAACTTGCCCAGGGCCATGTTGCTGGTGGCGCGGCGGTAGTAGCCCTTGACGTACTTCTTGTCCAGCTCGATGGCTCGCGTGGCGTCGGCCAGGGCGTAGCCGTAGCACTCGGTGCGCAGGTAGGCCAGGCTCCGGTTCCCATAGTAGATGGCGTTGCCGGGGTTCAGCTCGATGGCGCGGCTGTAGAACTCCACCGCCTTCTCATAGTCCTTCCCTGGGCCACCGGCGGGCGTCAGCGGGGAGGGAGCACGGGGTGAGACACCCCCCCAACCCCCCCCAAAAAAAAAAAAAAAACAACCCCCCTCACACACTCACACACACCCCAGGGGCTTGCCATGTGCTGCTCGGTGCGGCGGCTCTGCCGAGCGCCGCGTCCCCCTCCCCTAATTGGGGCTCTTCTCTCGAATTGCCTCCCTATCTGGCAGCCCCCTTCCCTCATTGCCCTCAATAGCTCCCTATCTGGCAGCCCCCTCTCCTAACTCACCCCAAAAGCTCCCTGTCTGGCAGCCCCCTCCCCTCACTCACCACAAAAGCTCACTGTCTGGCAGCCCTTTTTCCTCACTGACCCCAATAGCTCCCTATCTGGCAGCCCCCTCCCCTTCACGGCCCCAAAAGCTCCCTATCTAGCAGGCCCTTTCTCCTCATTGCCCTTAGTGGCTCCCTATCTAGCAGCCCTCTCACCTCCCTGACCCCAAAAACTCCCCATCTGGCAGCCCTCTTCCTCATTGCCCCCCCAACAGCTCCTTATCTGGCAGCCCCCTCCTCTTAGTAGCTCCCCATGTGGCAGCCCCCTGCCCTCATCGCCCCCAATAGCTCCATATTTGGCAGCCCCCTGCCCCCAGCAGCTCCCTATCTTGCAGCCCCCTGCCCCCACTGCCCCCAATAGCTCCCTATTTGGCAGCCCCCTCCCCTCATTGCCCCCAATAGGTCCCTATCTTGCAGCCCCCTGCCCCCATTGCCCCCATGAGCTCCCTATTTGGCAGCCCCCTCCCCTCATTAGCTCCCTATTTGGCAGCCCCCTGCTCTCATTGCCCCCAATAGCTCCCTATCTGGCAGCCCCTTGCCCTCATTGCCCCCAATAGCTCCCTACCTTGCAGCCCCCTGCCCTCCATTGCCCCCACTGAGCTCCCTATTTGGCAGCCCCCTCCCCTCCTTAGCTCCCTATCTGGCAGCCCCCTGCCCCCATTGCCCCTAATACCTCCCTATCTGGCAGCCCCCTGCCCCAAGCAGTTCCCTATCTGGCAGCCCCCTCCTCTCATTGCCCCTAGCAGCTCCCTATCTTGCAGCCCCCTGCCCCCATTGCCCTTAATAGCTCCCTATTTGGCAGCCCCCTCCCCTCATTAGCTCCCTATTTGACAGCCCCCTACGCCCTCATTGCCCCCAGTAGCTCCCTATCTGGCAGCCCCTTGCCCCCATTGCCCCTATGAGCTCCCTATCTGGCAGCCCCCTGCCCCAAGCAGTTCCCTATTTCCCCACTATTTCCCCCTATTTCCCCCCTAGTTCCCTTTTCCCCACCCCACCCCGCCACGTCCCCTCGGCCGGGGGGGGATACGTAGGGGTTGGACTCGGAGGGAGAAACCCCTGGGGGGGGACATGGACCCCCCCCTCTGGGGTGGGGTGACACCGTGTGTGTGTGTCCCCATGTCCCCCCCCCCCCCGTGTCCCCGCAGGGCATGGCGGAGCTGCACGTCATCAGGCAGCTGGTGGGGGCCAGCGGCTTCCCCCAGCGCAGCCTCTTTTGCAAGTGGGGGCTGCACGCCGGTGAGGGGGGGGCACAGGGTGACAACAGGTGACAACATCGACGTCCACTACGTCACCAAGGGCCTGCAAGGTGCGTCCCCAGAGTGTCCCCATATTGTCCCCAGGGTGTCCCCAAATAGCTCCCAAGGTGTGTCCCCAAATAGCCCCCAAGGTGTCCCCAATGTGCCTCCAGATTGTCCCCAAATTATCCCCAGAGTGTCCCCAAAGTGTCACAAAATAGCCCCCAAGGAGGGGGCTCCCCTCTGGAGCTCTCCTCAGGCCCTCCCCCCGGTACCCGCACGTCCCTCGGGAGCCCCCTGAGCACCCCCAGACCCTTCTGAGCACCCCCAGAGCCCTCCTTAGGGCTCTCCCCTGCACTCCCGCATCCCTAGGGAGCTCTTTGACCACCCCTGAAGCCCTCTGAGCACCCCCAGACCCCTCTGAGCATTCCCAGAGTCCCCAAAGCCCTCCTCAGGGCTCCCCCCATTACACCCCGTTCCTCAGGAGCCCTGTGAGCACCCCCAGACCCCTCAGAGCACTCCCGGACCCCACCCCCTCGGCCCCCCCCACGCCCCTCGGAGCCTGGCCCCGACCCCATCTCCCTCCCGAGCCCCCCCCCCTCCCCAGGCGGCCCCCACCTGGCAGCCACAACTTGGGGCGCAGCAGCACCTCCAGCGTCGCCCTCTCGGGGCTCTCCTTTGAGCCCCGCACCTCCGCGGGGCCGTACAGCCCGGCCAGCACCGAGGTGTCACCTGCGCGAAGGGGGACACAGAGGGGACGGCACTGCCACCGGGCCCCGAAAAACCCCGGGGACAGAACAATAATGGATGATGCTCAGAGGGCCTTACGGGGCGAGTGAGCTTTCCAGAAACACCTTTTACCCTGATCTCCTGGGAGGCAGCAGACTTCTCCATGGGTTGGGTCAGGCCGGCATATGCGGCCCTCTGTTCTGCTCAGAAGGGAGTCACTTATGACAGTAACCCTTCTCTTCTTCTTGATGGAGGTGGTCGTGATACTGGGGAAGGCTGACTTGCCCTAGAAAACCCCTCCAACCTGGATGGACCTTCATGCACATCATCGTTTGTGTGTCCATTACTTCCAGAGTCTGTTGTTTCAGGGCACCTGAAAGGAAGGTGAGGTAGGCAAGGAGGGGTTCGCCTGCTGCCCCGAGCAGATCTAAACTTCCATCCCTTCGTCACTGAGATGCACTCCTTCTGCCTGATGGCCAGAGGGTAGGGGATCCTCCATTTCCTCTGCTGTGTCTGCCTGACGCATCTGTCCCAGGGCTGGCAGAGTACAGTTCAACCTTCTCCGACTCCCTGGTGCTCCTCAGCCTGCCCACCTCCTCCCGAAGCTCTGCCAGGAGGCTGAGCAGTTCTTCTACCTGGGCGCACCTACCACAGGTGGACTCACAGGATGGGATGTCAGGAAGAATTTCTTCATGCAAAGGGTGGAACCGGCTGCCCAGGGCACTGCTGGAGTCCCAGGCCTGGAGCTATTAAAGAAATGCGTGGACTTGGCGCTAAGGGCCGTGGTTTTGTGGTGGGCCTGGTGGTGTTAGCTGACGCTTGGACTTGAGCTGAAGGCCCTTTTCCAAGCGCAAGGGTTCTGTGACTCTTTCACTGGTTGAGTAGGCGCCATGCAGTCACCGGGCCCAGGGAAAAGACGTCCTTGGTGGCCTCCAAGTTAGCTCAGCGTCATGGCACCGAGTCACTGTGAAGGAGCTGCTGGAATAACGAGACAACAACCTAGTTCTATTAAAATATATATTGCTCTTTTGAGGACTGCTGCGGGGCTAGCGGCAGCAGCAACACAGCAGTGGAAATCTCCGTCCTGACATTGCGTTATGCATTGACGTCAGGATCAGGGTGGTTTCAACTGCCAGGAAACGGACCATGGGTTCCGGGTCGTTCTCTAAAGGCTGGAGGACTGCAAAAGAAAGAAGAGCAGAGATGAAAACCCACTCCTTGCAGAGATCCCCAGGCATCCCCTGCAGAGCATGCCAGCCCCACTCGACTCTTCCCCAGGCCAGGAGGAGCAGGAGGGACAAAGGAATCCGTTGAAAGCTGCTGCTCAGCAATGTCCCAAATGCAGCCACCAGTCCTTCCCCACCTGCGCACCACAGGTCAAGTGGGGCACCTTCACAAGCTGGTTCCCTCACCACCTGCCTCCATCCCTTGGGAGGATTCACACACTCCAGGAATCTCCTGGACTCTTTCCTCTCGCTATTGTGCTTCCCCATGAGAGCAAGGGCTAGCAATCGTGACCCTGCTCCTAGCTGCTTGTAGGCTGTCTCATCTCCCTCTTCGTCCTGGTTGCGTGCTCTACAACAGGCTCCCACCTTCTGTCAGCCTTACTGCCCTTTCCCCTGACTCTTCCTCAGGGACACTCAACCCTTTCAGCGGCACTGCCCAGCTCCAGGCTGGGAGGCCATTCCCTGACACCACAGGCTACCCCGTCTCCTCTCCCTCGTTCCTATGGCTGCATTGCTCCTCCGCCCCGAAGCATTTCCCTGGAGCAGGGCAAGGCACGGGGGCCTCTGCCGCTGTCCCCCCAGCCCTAGCACACCCCCCACTGCCCTCACTCACCGCTGAGGATTTCATTCAGCTTCTCCTCACTCTGGTCCTTGCAGTAGCGCGCAGCAAGACCTAGACACAGAGATCCCATCAGAGCCCCGCTCCCCAGCACGCTCCCAGCAGCGCAGCCCCTGGCCTGGCCAGCCAGGCTGTGCCCCCTCCTGCACCCTGGAGCAAGGGCCCAGTCGGGGGGCTCTGGGGGCAACAGGGCAGTGCCTGGGGCTGCCAAAGACTGCCCCAAGAGGGACCCAGGGGCTGGGCTCACCAATGAATCTGACGGCCTCAAGTCGCAAGTCGGTCTGAGTGGCCTGCAGGTAGGGCTGGCTCTGCTGCAGGTATTCTTCTACTCTGCCTCTGTCCTGCTGCAGCTGGAGAGAGAGAGAACGCAGGGTCACGGGGCTTGCACACCCTCTCCAGGGTCTCCTCCAGCATCCTGGGGGCAGGGAGGGCAGAGGGGCCTGCAGAAGAGCCCCCTGGGGCTCTGTGCTGGCAGGAAGGGAGCGAGGATGCGGCTGCAGGCAGCGGGCTCTGGCCGGGCACGTTTGCCCAGCTGGGGCAAACCAAGTTGGGTCCTTACCAAGCACTCCCCGATCCTCCACGTCTGTTCTGTCTGGGCCAAGCGCTTCAGCTCCTTGCATCGCAGAAACTCTGCAGCCACGGCGAGAGCTTCCCCAGAGGCCTGCGGAGCAGCAGAGGTTGGGAGGTAGCAGCACAGCCTTGGGAAGGAGACCCTCTGTCCCCTCCTCTTGGCAGGGCTGCGAGCCTTTCCCAGCGCGTTATGGGAGGCTGTGGTGGGGGGCAGCGTGCACTGGGTTCAGTGGCCAAGGCAAGGCCACGGGACAGCCACCATCAGAGGCAGCTCACAATGAGAGAGATCCCAGAGATCACAGCCAGAGATCAGAGGCTGGACTCGATGAACTTGAGGTCTCTTCCAACCTAGAAATTCTGTGATCCCCCAGAGCAACCCTGTGGCATCAGCACACCATTGCCCACATAACTGCTCAGCTCTGAGATCTGTACCTTTGCTACGCTCTCACTCTGGTCTCTCCTGTGAAAGTAGAGTGGGAGAAGGCTCCTGCGCACTGTCCTCTTCATTTTCTTCTTCCTTTGCCACAGCACAGCCTCCACCACGGCTTGGAAGAGGCAGATGGAGTGCTCCCGCACCTGGCTGGACGCCTGGCAGGGAGGAGGACAGGAGGAATTTCAGCATTAGCTTGGCTGATGTGAAGGGAGCTCCCAGCACTGTGAGATGCTTCAGCGCTGGATCCCTTCCCAGAGGAGCTGCTCAGGGGCAGCTGCAAGGCCTGGTGCCCGTGAAGGGCAACGCAATCGGTTGCCATCGCAGGCTGCCCGCCAGCCACCCCACTTTCGCCACCAGCCGCACCAGCCATGCCCAAGCAGAGCTCCCCAGCGCCTGGGCTGACGAGGAGACTGGGAAGGCCCTGCCTGAGTGCTGCCCACAGGGCCGGGCTGAAGGGCAGCCCTCGTTACAGGGGGCCCAGCTGAGGGCTCGGGCTCCCGCAGCACACTTACGTGGTCAAAGAATGGCAGGAGCTTCTCAGCCAGCTGCAGAGCCGGGCCACTGGCCTTCCTCCTCTCCACATGAGCCATCACGTTTTTCAGCACAAGCAGGGCCTTCAGCACCACGTCTGTGTTGGTGTCCTGCAGGGCCTCCAGGATGTCTGGCAGCAAGACCTGAATTTCCCTTGCCTGTAGGAAAGACACCATTTCCCTTCCGTGAGGCAGTGAGAGACCACCCTGGGCAAAGGGCTCTGGTTCCTGAGCACCAGCCTCCTGCCTTGCTTCCTGGCAGCGGGGAGGGACGGGAGGGCAGAAGAGCAAAGCCCCAGGCTGCCAACATGGCTTTGCTTGACGATGGCCCGCTCACCTTCTCAGGGCTCTCTGACACGGTGCAGAGCCCTTTCAGAACCAAAAAGCGCATCATTGGTCTTGGGTGCCTCAGGTAGCTCTGGAGGTGCACTGGGTTAACAAAGTCCTCCTCAGAAATGTGATTCTGGGCCAGCATCTGCAAGAAAGAGCAGTGAGAGCCTGGCAGGGCCTGCAGGGCTCCCTGCAGCCTCTTCTTCTCCCACCTTTGGGCAGGGATGGGGCAGCGCCAGCTGGCACCAAAGAGGCACCAGGCGCGGGGAGCTACGGGGGCTTGCCGGCCCCAGGGACCATGTGTCCGTACGTCCTGCGGGAGCTGGCAGTTTGGGGGTAGATGGGCACAGGGCTGTGCCTGTGTGCCTGAAGGGGCACACGTAGCCCTGCTGTGAGCAAGGTTTCATCTGGGAACTCACAGCCAAGCGACGGATGCAGGTGTCTTTGGTGACTTCGGTGCACCAGTTGCGCAGCGGCAAGTCTTGCATCATGATGTTTAAAACCCTCTCCAAGGTCTGCGGCATGGCCAGGATCACCTCCCACATGGCCAGGTCAGTGCTGCAAGCCCAGAATACTCTGTCAGTGAGGCTGCCTCAGCCGCAGGGCCACAAACTGGGCCAGCCCCGGAGGACCCAGGCTGTACTGCAGCCCCTGTGACTTGGGGAGCACTGAGGGCCCAGCCTGGGCAGGCAGGAGGGGGCTGAGCTGGTGTTCCCTGGGGGCAGGGGGACTCTGGGCTGCCTTGGACAGCTGGGCTGCTGCAGCCCTGGCTGGCCCAGTAGGGCTGGAACACATTGGTGGGAAGGAGGGCTGTGCTCCTTGGGGATGTCCTGCTCTTTGCCATTGGTGTGGCAAGCAGAGAGTCTCCAGGTGCATCTCCCAACACGGAACAAGCCCTCAAGGATGTTAAGGCCAGGACCTGTCACGTGGCGGAGAGAACTGCAGCAGGTTCTTGACTTCTTCCCTGGACATCTTTTTGGTCATCTGGAGAAGCAGGGAGTCCAGGCACTGCCGCGCCAATGCCGTGTGGATGCTGCCCAGGTTTCTCCTGATGCACTCCATGGTCTTTGGCACCTTGGGGGACAAAGTGGGAATGGTGTTGCCAGCAGACAGCAGCCATTGTCACAGCTGCCAATCAAACTTTGGCCCCTTCCATTGCTCTCTGCTGGCTTCAGGTGGCTTCTGGAGCCCAAGAGACCCCGATGTGCGAGGGAGGCAGGGAGGGAGGCAGGGAAGGAGAGAGGAACCACGCCTGGAAGAGCTCAAGGGCAGGGCCATGGCCACAGGCCACTTACATCTTTCAGCCAGTAGAAAGGGTCCTCCAAGGCTGCGTCCAGCACGCTGCAGGCCCCCTGCTTGTCATGGATGCTGGAGTCTTGTAAAGCTTCAAGGGCTGTGAGGATGATGTCCAGCCTCTCATCAGGGAAGAGATGTCCTCCAAACCCCTGTGGGAAGAAGGAGGAGCGAAGACATGCCTCACTGAGTGTCCCAAGGGTGCTGCTTAGCTGAGCAGCAAGGGCAGCTCTGGAGAGAGGGCCCTCGGGGGAAGGGGTGAGGATGGGGCATATGGGGCCAGAGTGCTGGCCCTGCAGGTAACCAGGGCTTGCTGGTGGCCAGGAGGGTGGAGCTGCTGCCGGGACACAGGGGAGCAGCCTTCGCATAGCCCCAGCCTGGGGACAAGAGGAACCCTCTCAGCAGGGCGAGTGAGGCCGTGCCAGCCCCACCGGTTCTGGACCCCTTTGCTCACACGAGATGCCTGCTGATGCTGCGGACAAGATCCCCAGCAAGGCCAGAGCTCATTACCTTGGCAATTTCACACGGAGTTGATGTTGTAGAAAATGGAAGTTTTGCATACTCCAATTTCTTGTGTCTCACTGCATAATATAGCATGTCCTCTCTCAATATGCATTCTAAACAGGGGGCAACAGCGAAGAGTCAGTAGGGAAGAGCATCTTTGCCAACAAGCTTGCCAAATGGTGAAAAGCACTTTCACTAGGAATGGCTGAGGAGGGAGGCTCAGACCCACGGCGAGGAGAGTGGTGGGCAGGGATGTAAAGCACAAGGTGAGGAGTGCTGGGAGCAAGAGGGACCTCAGGGATGATGCAGAAGGAGGAGAAGCAATGGCGTTGGGTGCCGTGGGGGTAGCAGCGTGTCACAGACCCCCTTCTGCTCGGGGTCAGGATGTGCAGGAAGCCCCCTGACACCTGCCTTTAAGACGGCAGGGAGCAAACAGTCAGGGAGCATTCTGGAGGGCGTCACCATCCCTGGTGATGCACGGCTGGCTCTGCTGTTCACTCCTCGGGGAAGATGCCGTTTGGGAAGTGCTCATCGATCGATGGCTTAGACTGGGGGACACCACAAAACAGCGTGGTAGGTGATCTGGGGAGGGTTGGGAAGGACAGCAGCAGAGAACTGCTCCTGGACGGCAGGTGAGCGTCTAGCTTCTGCGGAAAACGATAGCCAGAATGCTGCGGGAAGCTGCTGTGAGGAGCAGAGGAGGCCAGGGAACCTGGCAGAATTCCGTGGGCAGCCTCCACCAAGCACAAAAACAATCCTTCACAATACTCACAGAATCACAGAATGTCTAGGTTGGAAGAGACCTCAAGATCATCGAGTCCAACCTCTAACCTAACACTAACAGTCCCCACTAAACTCGGGGAAAACAAGTAGACAAATCAGTAGATGTTTGTGTGCAGACGGACGCTGCCCACCACACCTTCTTACCTCTTCCTTTTCTGATGATTTTGTATATGTGAGAAAGAGTTTCTAAAGCTGTGAATCTGATGGAATCTTTGTCACTGGTGAAAATGAAGAGGATGCCCAGCAGCTGTCCCAGGATGGGGATGTAGAGCTCTGTGGGCTCATCATCGCTATAGTTTTCATAGTCATCTGTGATCTGGGTGAGGAAGGGAGGAGAGACAAAGGGCTTAGTGGAGGCAGAGCCAGCCCCTGAGATAGCAGGGCCTGGGGAGGGAAGAGCAGGGGCGAAGGAGGGACGAAGACCCTCGATTCACGGTTCTGAGGCACTCACGTGCATCGAGGCTTGCCTCACAGGCACCCCTGAGTGGCAGGATGCTCTGGGATGCAGGAAAGGGTGGAGGGTTCCTTGTGCCTTACCTCGCTCACAAAATAACTGATGATGAAATCACCCAGCCTCTCAATCCTCCTCACAGCGCTCTCACGCACAGCTGAGTCTTTGGAGACAGCAAAGTCCAGCATCACCTGTGAGGAGAGAAGTTGCTGGGTTGACAGTGGTCTGCAAATGAGACCTGAGAGGATTCTTTGGAAATTCTTTGCAAATGCCAAACCTTCAACATATTCTCCAACTCTATGCTGACACTGGTGTTGGCACAGTTGCGTACGAAGCCCTCCAGCATGGTGTCCATGGCTTTCATAGTCTGCAGGGAGGACAGAAGAGCATCGAATTATTTCTGTGGCCCTCCTCACCCCCAGGAGCTGGCTCTGAGCCCCTCGGGAGTTCAGGGGTGGCTTTGGGGCTAAAAAGCTGCTGTGTGCAGACCTCCTGCAGCACAAGATCAGGTCGGGGAAGGGGCGAGGCTGGGAAAGCAAATCTGGGCCCCGGCCCTGCACTGGTCTCTGGTTGTGTCAGCACGGGGAAGCAAGGCAGCAGCTCAGCAGGACTGGGGGTGCTGGTACCTCACCCAGCACATACCTTGGCGTAGAGCACTCCTGTCTCTGGCACATCCGACTCCGGAGGCAGAAAGAAGATGCTCTTGCAGCACATGTTTAGGAGACTCTCCTTTTTGCCACACAGTGCTGTTGGTATGGTGTTGCTGAAGAAAAGAGAGAGAGGAGCCTGTTGGACGCAGTGCCTCGAGGCTTATGAAGGAGGACACGGACCTCCCTTGGCCAGGCATCCCTGGGAGGGACGGGCAGCCTCCCTGCCAGCTTCAGGGCCACCAGGACATTGCCACCAGGGGCTGGGCACGCACCTGAGGAGGGCGACAGTCTCCATGGCCTTCTGCCGGAATGCTGTGCGCAAGCTGTCCATGGGCTCCTTTTCCAGCAGCGCCTGCAGAGCACAAGCAGGATGAGACCTTGGAGCCGCCGGCACCCAGCAGCAGCAGAGCCAGCGCTGCCCCAGCCCTCGCCTCCCAGGGGGCTGGTGCCGGGGGGCCTTGCCCCTTCCCCAACCCGCTGCGCATCCTCTCACCATGATGTTCTCCACCAGCTTATGTTTGCTGCAGAAGCCATGCAAGTTCATCGGCACACCCCTCTCTGTGACACATGTGCACAGATCGCAGATTTTGCTGAGGAACAGCATCTTCTGCTCCTCGTCGTCCTGGCAGCCACAAAGACACCAACAGAGCATTAGGGGGACACCCACGGCCAGCAGGACCAAAGCCTTGAGGGGTCTGGGGCTGTGTGGGACCCCTGGAGGGCAGCGCCAGGAGCACAGCTGTGATGCAAGCGGCTGCCATTACCTTTTCTGTGCCTCTGACATACGCCCTGATGAATTCCACGGCCTTGTCTCTGCACAGTTTCCATGCCTTACCTGGAAAGGAGGAAAGCAAAGAGTGCTGCAGAGAGGGGCTGAATGCAGGGGTGAGGAGAGGAAGGGCCCCAGCCCCAGAAGGCCGTGGGGAGGCCGTGGGGATGCCCAGAGGCTGCAGCAGCTCCACTGGGAAGAGAGGCTGAGGGAGCTGGGCTTGTGGAGCCTGGAGAAGGCTGCGGGGGGACCTCGCTGCGGCCTCCCCGTGCCCAAAGGGGCCTCCAGGAAAGCTGGGGGGGGATCTTCATCATGGACTGCAGCGACAGGACAAGGGGTGACGGCCTTAACCTCAAAGAGGGCAGGTTTCTTTCGGACAGGCAGGGATTTCTCTCCTTCACGCCCAGGGCAGTGAGGCCTTGGCGCAGGCTGCGGTGCCCCCTCCCTGGCACTGCCCACGGCCAGGCTGGGTGGGCTTTGGGCAGCCTGGGCTGGGGGGAAGCATCGTGATCGCCGAGGTCCCCCCCAGCCCAAAGCGTCCTGGCATTCTGTGGTGCTGCGGAGGAAGCTCGGCCCCGTCAGCCCAAGCGCCGCTTTACCCAGGGAAGGAGTCCTGGAGTCAGGCAGGGGTCTCTGTGTCCCCAACCCTCCCCACCCCATCCCGAAGACCCTGACTCACTGGGATCCAGCCACTGTACGTCGTCCTGGCTCTCCTCTACCTGGCTGCTGCCCGCTGCCTGAGCAATGGCGTCTGCCGGGCTGCTGTCCTCTTCCGGCAAAAAGGCCTCAACTGGGGTTCTTTCCACTGCCAGCAAGCTGTCCTCTGCTGGCCGGTTGCTGCCCCTAGAAGACCAGGTCTCCTGCCAGGCCAGCCTGGGCTGCCTGGGGGGCATGCCTCCCTCCTCATCCCCTTCAGAAGCAGCCTCTGGAGTGGGAGAGTTCTCAGATAGAAACCGGCGGCTCCTCCGGGCGGGCGGTTGCGGCATTGTGGGACGTGGGCTATGCTCGGGGACTCCTCGAAGGCCCTGTGCTCCTGCCCTGTCCGTCACTGCCGTGCACCGACACTGAGGGTCCGAGCCACGGCTGCGCTCTTATAAGGCGGAGCCCTGGGGTGTCACCAAGTGACGTCACAATGGGTGCCACTGTGACACGCGCCTGGGCTGGGTGGGCACCCATTGTGACGTCACTTGGTGACACCCCAGGGTGCTGCCTGACGCGAGTGCAGCCGTGGCTCGGACCCTCAGGCCCTGCTTCCCAGGACGTGGCTGAACACCGCTCGTTGATGGGAAGTAGAGAATAATTTTTTTTTCCCTCTCTCCGTGCTCCCGCGCGGACTGATTGTTTCTTTTGTTTCGTTTTTTTTTTTTTTTTCCTCCCCATTCCCCTTCCATTTAATTAAACCTTTCTCATCTCAAACCTCGAGTTCTCTGTGTTGTATTTTCTCCCCCTTCCTCTTTGAGGAGAGGGGGAGTGAGAGAGCGGTTGTGGTGGAGCTCGGCTGCCCACCTGAGTAAAACCACCACACTTTGTCCCAGCAGCTGCGGTGCCTTGCGAGGGGCTGGGGCTGGGGTGGCCGTGCCCAGAGCCCTGCAGCAGCCTGTGGAGGGCATTGCCCTGGGGCCAGCCCAGCCTGGGCTGCTGGGCTGGGCTGGGCTGGAGAGAGGGCAGGGTGGTGGGGAGAGGTGGGCAGGGGCCGGGCTGGGCTGGGCAGTGCCCGGCAGAGCACTTTGTTGACTTTGATGACTTTCACCTATTTCTTTGAGGACTGTAGACACCCGTCTCTGTTCACCACCTTGCTCTCATCCCAGCATTTCCATCATTTCACCAGTGTCTCATCAACCCTCCCCAGCTGCTCCTTCTCACACAAAGCCATGCTCTGATCACAGACGCTCTTTGGGTGACCTCTGGCAACGCAGCACAACACTCTGAGGGACAGTTCTTCCTCCTCGTGGCCAGCACCAACATTCCAAAGTGCACTTTGTGGCAGTTTTTTCTCTCCTACTCTTTTCTACTACAAAAGAAAGCTCCATCAGGGTGGAACCCCCTCCTAAAGTAGGCATCCCAATCCATCAGGCTCCTTGCGGCCTGTCAGCCAACCAGACAGAAGTCACCGCACCAGCATCTTCCAAGCCATGGGCCTGCTGCTGTCCAGTCATGGACTCAAGCAGAAGGGACAGGACAACCCATATGTGGGCCTTCTTTCTGCATGGGTCCTCCTGGGTATGTAGGCAGAGGGGATCCCACAGTCAGCATGCCAGCCAGGTGCCTTTTGCTGGCCTACCAGGGCCACTGGCAGATGTCAGCCGAAAAGTACCGATCCCAGCTCTAAGTCAAGGGTGACCTGCCACCTACAGACAGAAGTGACCTCTCAGTCCCTTTCTGTGACATGTTCCTGCTGCTGCCCTATCTTCTGCAGGGACAGAAGTGACCTTACAGTCACTGCACACATGGGCAGATAGTGACAGACACCCAGCCTCCTGGTGCCTCCTTGCAGCCCAAAGCAAATGCCTCTAAAGCTCTGCCCGAGCAGGACGAGTTGTAGGTACAAATGTGTCCATGCTGGGGCGAGGGAGATGCAGGAAGAGTCTAAGGTAAAGAAACAGAGACCTTTTCACTGCTGTATTTCATTATGCGGAATCCAGATTAGAGAAGTGTTAGTGAAGACTGGAACAGCCCTGACATGGATAAGCGGCAGGATAACGCACAGAAGCAGGTCCTCTGGTACATCCCTCTAAATATGGAGGGTAGCTCCCCTTCTGCAGTGCCCTTCCTACTTCCACAGCAGCACCTGGAGGACAGAGAGTCCTTGACATGCTCCTGTGTGGGACAGAAGTTGGCTTTTGAGGCTGTGGTCTTGGGTGAGAAGTCCTTTCCACCCAAGAAGGTATGTTAGTCGCTCAATGAGATTTGAGCATGGGACATAAAAGACGTGGGTGGCAGAAGTCTAAAGGTTTTATCTGATGTTTTGCTCTGCCTCTTCACGCTGGACAGTCTCTCCTTCCTCCCCGAGAATACTGAGATGCCCATGCAAATGGCTGTAAATAACACAGGGGAATCTGCTGCCACATCAGAGACCACCTACCCCACTGGATCTTGCAAGTGTTAAAAGGAGGCAGCTTCCTCATCTGTTTTCACAGAATGACAGAGCCACGGAATGGTTGAGGTTGGAAGGGACCTCTGGAGGTCATCTGGTCCAACCCTGCTGCTCTAGCACCAGCACCTAGAGCAGGTTTCCCAGGACCATGTCCGCATGGCTTTTGAAGATCTCCCAGGAGGAGACTCCAGCACCTCTCTGGGTAACCTGTTGCAGTACTCCACTACCCACACAGCACAGAAACACTTCCTGACATATACACAGAACCTCTTTTGTTGCAGTTTGTGCCCAGTGCCTCTTCTCCAGGCACTGGGCACCAATGAAAAGAGCCTGGAATCTGTGTTCTCTGCACTCTCTTCAGGTATTTAAGGACATTGATAGGAGCCTCCTTTTCTCCAGTCTGAGCAGCCCCCACTCCCTCAGCCTCTCCTCCTCATAGGAGAGGTGCTCCAGTCCCTCAATCACCTTGGTGGCCCTACATGGGACTTGTTCCAGTATAGCCACATTTCTCTTTTGAATTTGATAGGGGAACAGTGTCAAAGGTCTTTCTGAAGTCCAGGCTTTTCTTTGGTGAAAGAATTTCAGAAAACAATCATAGAATGCCTTGTGATTGGCATATCACCATGCAAAGACCAGGAAAATTTCCATTTTCAGGAAGCTGTAAATAGGCATCCATAAGCAAGAAAATGGTTGTAGGTGGCCAGAGAAACAGAAGGCCAAATGCTAAGGTATGTCCAGAACAGCACCTTCCACAATAATTATAGTGAATTAAAGGAAATCTCAAAATTAGGATGAAACTTTACTTGATGAAGTAGGAAATGGACTATGAGATGGATATGAAATTCGATGTTACAGGAAAAGGACAGTACCAGAAACAAGGACAGCATCTTGGTCCCTGCTTCGAGGGCAGATCTCTCCCAGGGCCAAGCTGTAGCTGTTTGGTCCCAAGGGTAAATGAGATGTGTGTCTGAGTGCCCACCACTGCCATCAGTGTCTGCCCTTTGCAGCAATGCCAGTGTTAAGAAGGGAGGATGTGAGTTTTATAGTCCTAAAGTCCATATAAAATGCAATACAAAGACAGTCGGTGCCTGTTTAGAGCTAGATTGACCAACCTGTGCCTTGCACTGGATTTCTGTGCAGGCAGAAACCAAAGTAGAAAGCTGTTTAAAAAACAAATAACAAAGAAATAAATCATCAAACTACAACAAAAACTACCAACATGTGCTATGCCACGTTTATTTCTGTGGATGTAAAGGATAAATATTTCCGTCTGAATCACCTTTCATCTCTGCTGGGAAGCACAGGCACAAGCAGCACAGGGGCACTGGTTGCTGCTCCAGCAGAGGCCTGGTGCAATGGGAACTCTAGCTGGTAATGTCTGTTTCTCAGGGGGTTCTTCAGGTGGTTCTGCTGAGCTTGACGTTTTAAAGCCAGCTATAAGCAGTGACATGGCCAAGCTCTGGCATGCAATCAGCCAGGCACAAAGTGGAACGTGCCAACATGGCCAGAGCCCTACTCCTACCTCCCCATGCTCCAGCCCCTGTCCACCTGTCCAAAAGGCCAAGGGCAGACCTATCCTTCAGATCTGAGCTCAGCAGGCTCCTGGACTTTCTTTTTAAACAGAGTCCTGTCAGATTTGCACAAAGCAGGCTGAATTTTCCAGGGCAGCACTGGCACACCCCTGTCCAAAGCTCCTCTTCTCCTGACTATGCTCACTGCCTGTCGGTATCAGGCTACTTTGATGGGTTTTTCTCTCTTTCTTATCCTTCCCTTCTGAGATCTGTCTCACCAAGGGTTCCTGTGCACTGATGGGATGAAATGGGGAGACAACAACCCCTACACAACCTTCCTGACATCTTTCTGTGCATTTCTTTTTGTACATCATTGTCTTGGTCCCTATGAAATCAGTGTAGTGTTTCATATCCTGGATGTTAGACCCTGGAAGTCTGCCTGTTCCTCAAGCTATGGCTGGGCCAACAAATATATCTACTGGTCTGTGCAAAGTACAATGACTTTTACCCAGTATTTGTTTGTTTTTTTTTTTTTTTTTTTTTTTCCTTAGTTCTGTTGAAAGCACATTCAAGTGGTGTCCTCTCACTTGCAGTAACAATCATGCACAAATGTGCTACTACTGAGTAACACTTCCTTCATTTTTCACTCTGAGTACAGAAGAGCACTGGTAGGTTAATTACTTATTACAAAGCTATTAATTAAAGCAAGTGGATTCAGAGATCTCCCTGTCTTGTGTCTGTAGCCCTGGGAGAGAACATAGTCCTGCTGAAATTACACGTATGTCATGGGGGGAGAAATTATGCCTGAAAATCAGTGTTCAGAAAAAACGAGGTATTTTATGATTTTGCACCTATCCAGATGTAGGAAAACTGTTTAAATGCTTGATTGTTTTTGCATAAACAGGAGTGCAAATACCTGGAGAAATAAATAAATAAATAAATATTTTTATCTCAAACAAAATCCTTATACTCTAAAACTACCTTTTTAAATCCACATCTATATTCCTTAGAGAAGTGAGTTTTTCAAAACAGCAGAATAGTAAAACGTGTTTGTCTTCAAGCGAGCACTTTTGAGTTTGCAAATTGTCAAAAGCTGAACAAGACAAAAGGGAATCAGTCCAAAGCCTTCTCAGGCCAGCTTCACAGTCAGCACCAGAAGAGACAAAGTCATACTTAGAGGATCAGTCAGAGTGCCTATGGTGGGGACAAGAGCCTACTGCACCAGGTCTCAGACAGTCACCTGCTGCTCCTCAAGAAGTGGCTCGTGTCTCCTCTGGGAGTGTTGAGAGCTTTGTCCACTCTTGCTTCTGCATGACGCTGAATTTTCAGCATTAAAAGTTACACCTAGGTGCTCCAGCCAAGCCTTGCAGTGCAGCCTGTGATGCCCAGTGAGTGCAAAAGGTGTCACGTCTGCAGGAATGAATCATTTGCCTGGAAAAAAAGTATGGCTATTCTTTCGAAAGCAGCAAGGAACTACCAAAGGAAAAATAAATAAATAAAAATTAGCAATAATCACTCCTGTAACTGAAACTAGATCCTGGACAAATATTTGCATTCCTGATGATGAAGTTTTTCTTCAGAGATTTCCAAAAGGCATTTTTTATATCTTTGTTTCGCAGACTAAAAATGATGGGGCTCAGGAAGGGGGTGAAGACAGTGTAAGACACATCAATCAGAACACTAGCTCCTGCAGCACGGGGTGACTGGTGTTTCAAATAGATGACAGAGGCACAGCCATAGTGCACCACCACTACGGTGATGTGGGAGGCACAGGCGGAGAAAGCTTTGTGCCTCCCCTTGGCTGATGGCATCTGCAGGATCCAGCCAAGGATAAAGGCGTAGGAGAGAAGGATGAACAGAAAGCATCCCAACAAGGCAGTAATGCAAAAGATGCCAACTACAGTGCCAACCACCTCGCCACCAGCACAAGCCAGCTGGAGTATGGGGGGCACATGGCAGAAGAAGTGGTCAATGCGGTGGGACTGGCAGAACGGTAACTGGAACACAGCGCTGGTCACCAGCAGCCCCAGGAGACCACCCCCTGCCCATGAGGCAGCCACCAGCTGGGTGCAGGCTCGGGAGGTCATCACGGTGCTGTAATGCAAGGGCTGACAGATCGCCACGTACCGGTCATATCCCATCACCGTCAGGAGGAAAGAGTGCGTGAATCCAAACATGAAGGAGAAATGCATCTGTGCAGCGCAGCCCAGGAAAGAAATGGTTCTAGTTCCCAGCACTAATCCGGACAGCATCTTTGGGATGATGGAGAAGGTATAACAGATTTCTGAGAAGGACAGAGCACTTAGGAAAAAATACATGGGCATGTGCAGCTGCTGATTCAGCCTGATAACAAACATTATCATAATATTTCCAACTAGGGTCACCACGTGCATGAGGAGAAACAGCACAAACAGCACAGCCTGGAGTTTAGGAAAGTAGGAAAACCCAATAAAAGCAAACCCTGGTGGAACGGTTTGATTCTCCCTTCTCATTTGTGCTTTGTCTGAGAAGAGCACAAGAAGAGCAATATTTTAACAGCAGCAGCTGTATCTTGGTGTGAGGACGGCAGTGGTGAAGATTTTGAGCATTCCCCTTTCTCTCTGCACTCTCAGTCCTATGCCGAGCACAGCATGCCTTTTTGTTCTCCACTGCTGCTTGCCTTCAAGGGTTGTGCTGCATTAGCTAAAGGAGTACACTGGCCTATCGGTGTGCAGCAGCACTGATTGCAGCTGGAAAAGAAAGAAGAGAACAGAAGTGGCATTAGTTCCTCAGCAGGCTTAGGGCACACTGCACACAAGGGAGAAGTGAGGATTTCTTACTGGCATTCATCCAGGGAGGAGCAGAATTGAACCCTGGCCACCATGGGCTGCAGCTCCAAGGGCTTTGCATGGACTGAGAGGGATGAACCTACCTGCAGACACCTCAGGCAGACAGCTCACCCTCCCTCCCGCTCTCTCCCGAGATGTTTTGACCTTGTTCTCTCCTAGGATCTGCACCCACTTGTAGCTAACCATGGGTCTTGATGGAGAGGACAAGGGTAGTCGCCTGATTTATCCTGAGCTGTAATGAAAGCGTCTTTCATCTCATTAGCAGATCTGGGCATGGTTAAGGGAAGAGCAGCACGTTCAGCACTCCCACAGGACTCTAGGAGAGTCAACCGAGCTGTATCTTAAGGGGAAACTTGTCTCACCTGCCTCTGGATGTCCACCATTCACGTATGTGTCTTTTTCTCCTAGATGGGGACAGACATTTCTTGCGATGTCTGATCACATCAGTCTTTTACCTTCAGAGGGTGTGACCCGTACTGCTCCAGGGGTGCTCGTGCTCCAGGAGGTGCAGCTCCGGGGATGCCTAGAGACATTGGTGGTGCTGGAAATTGGGGGAGATGCCATTTGATGTGATGGCCTTGGAACTGTAGGGATACCTTCCTAGAGCTGTGTTGTTTCAAGGTGCCCCCCTAACAGGGATGGCATGTGTGGGGTGGTCTTGATCTCAGTGAGAACAGTGGGATATTACCCTGGCTTCTTCAAACAAGGTCTGACCCAGGCTTTAACACAGGACCGCTCCTGCACTGTCAGCTCCCAGCTCTGTCCCGTTCGCTGGACATTTTGCACTGCTTGAGTTTTTAATGCGTCGTTAACCACAAGTCAGTGCAATCCCGGATCAGACAAGACGCAGCAAGAAAGGGTGAGGAAAATACCTTTAAAACTTCCTCCAAGTCAATGTCTCCTCCTGCTGCTTTTGACCCGCCGGCTGCAGGAGGAAGAGGTGTTCACTGACCTTCAGCAGGACTCTGCCGCCTGCCCAGGCAAGCATCTCCCTTGCACACCGATGAGGAGGTGATGAGCACTCACTCTCCCAGGAAGGACGGATGCACTGCACCACACTGCAGCCTGTCAGCCCCGTGATGACCCCGTGTGCCCCTTCTCTCTGTGCTCAGCCACAATCATGGCTTTACAGAGGGTCTTAGCTTGTGGGCACCCCCGGTGGATTGAGCACCGTTATCCAGGGCAGGATTCTGCTTGGCTCTTACCTGCAGGCAGCGCAGGTGCCAGGCTGGCAGCGGGGGCTGCAGATCTCCTTCTCTCTTGGTGCAGGAATGGAGGGAGGAGTAGGAGCTCAGCCCCTGTCCCTCTTCCCCACTGCAAGCCTGGCACTGGGGCTTGAAGAAACAGGCTGGGGAGGTGGAGACTCGGCTCCCTCCTTCGTGCCTCCTGAGGGGAAGCATCCCACAGGAGGCCACGTTGTCAGGAATCCCAACACGTAGCCAAACAGAGGTCAGTGCTGTGCAGCCCTGGATTTTTAAGCAGCAGTTAAACATCTGCATGGGAAGAGGGTCTGGAGCTCTCCTCAGAAAGAAGCACAGGACTGTGCTCAAATAGCCCAGCTCGGAGGTGCCGTCCCCCATCTCTTGCCGTCTCCCCAACCCGTCATCACACAGAGCACCAGGCACTCTGCCTGCAAGGCCCGGGTCTCTCTGGGGTGGCACAGGGCCACTCCTTGTGTCTGAGGTCATTTAATACTTCGTTTTAGGACTACTTCTGAAAAACGCAACAAGAGACCCAAATCACAAGGGGGGGTTCTCACAGCTGTTTGTCTGGGAGACTCAGTACTACCGTGGAAATCCATGGATGGGCAGGCGAATCAGGCCTCTTCGGTTTCCCTCTCCTGCCATAAGGTTAGGATTCAGCGCACCTAACTCCAGAAGTCTTGCCTGGAAGTATCTCCACCTGGGCTAGATCCCCAGGTCCTCAGACAGGTGGGAAGGCCTCGGCAGGGGACCATGGGCACACCTCCCTTCGTTCCACAGCAGGGTAGGATGCGGAGGACCTCATGTCCCTGTGCTGACTGCGTAGGGCGTGTGGGCGACCAGCTCATAAACAGACCATGTGCACAGAACAAGCCTCTGGACAGGGAGAATGCCATGGCAATCAGCATGTTACCCAGGGAGGAATATTAGCCAGATTTGTAGAGCTTAGGGATATTGATATGGTTTAGTGGGGACTGTTAGCGTTAGGTCAGAGGTTGGACTCAACGATCTTGAGGTCTCTTCCAACCTAGAAATTCTGTGATTCTGTGATTCTGTGGTCACAAATACCTCCAGTATCGGCGAGAATATCTACTCAAGCTCTCTGGGACTGGGTTTAGTTATCCAGTGCCCTGCTAGGAATAGGACATCCTGACAACTTCTCCAAGGTTGTCACAGAATCGTAGAATCGTAGAAACATAGGGTTGGAAAGGACAACCTTTCAAGATCAAGATCACCTAGTCCAACCGTCTTCCTATCACCAATACTACCCACTAAGCTACTAAATCCTATCTCGTTAAGACCAGCTCCATTCCAGCGAGTGGTCCTTGGAAGGTGCATTCATCACTACGCCACCTTTACCGTAGACTTCATGGACAAATGACAGCATTGCTCTGTGAACCCCCCCCCACTGCCCAAACCTGCAGGACAGAGCTGAGAGGGAGCTGTAGGAGCTGGGCTGAGCTCCAGTCCTTCCCCTGGAACCACAAGAAATGGATTCCCCAAAGAAGGGACAGCAGCGTAGAACAAGATCTGGGCCACTGCTCATGGACAGTCCCTCTGCAAATATCTTCCTCTGACAAAAATATATAATGGGAACGAGCATGCCGAATGCACATGTGGGGTGCCAGTCTTTTTTAGGGGTGATACAAAGAGCTGGGGAAATATTTATCATCGCAGCATGCAGGGAGCAAGCGGTTCTTCCTGAGCAGCCTCCGGCTGGGTCAGCAAGAGCAACACTGGACTGTGACGCTGTTGGTTAGCCCCGGTAGGCAGCTAAGCACCACACAACCACATCCCGTGGCACTGAGGAGAGAAGGAAAGCAACCAAAGTTGTGCGTTGAGATAAAAATTATTAAGCAAAGGAAAAGTGGAAGAAGAAGGACACACAGCACCATAGAAGCTGCTGTGAAGACAAAGAAGTCCTTCCCAGACAGACTCAGTACAGAAGCGTTGCAAGATTTTGTCACATTTACAAATGGGTAACGCTTAAATCTTGATTCGGGAATGATTTGCTCTATAAAAGATTTCATTGATTCATTTATTTGCTTAGGACTGTTTGCTTATTCCCCTGGTAAGAAGTTAGTCTGGTAGATGGCACTGGAACAGGTTGCCAGAGAAGCTGTGGATGCCCCATCCCTGGAGGTGTTCAAGGCCAGGCTGGGTGGGACTTTGGGCAGCCTGATCGAATGGGAGATGTCCCTGTCTGTGGCAGGGGGGTTGGAGTTAAATTATCTTTAGGGTCCTTTAGGATTCTGCAATTCTGTGGATGAAATGGCATTAAATACCTTGTTGAGAAGCAGCATCCAACAGCTGCATTATGGAAACCCTTAACTAGGACTCGATGCAGGAAGACATTAAACAAGGGAAGGACTTGGCTGGTTTGATTTTGATGAACAGAAAGGAGAAGTTTTTCCTTCTGCAAGCTGTTGGGTTCTTGCTGTGTGGGTGAAATGCTGTTCCTTCACCACCTCTAGCTTGAATCATTTTTGCAGGTGCGTCTTCCTTATGCAATCCTTTCTTTTTTTTTTTTTTTTTTGACCGAACATGGACTCAAGTTGCTGGTGCTGGTGCCCGATTTTCACAGTGCCCTTTGTAAAGCACCCCACCAAAGGCCACCCGAAGTTCCCAGGTACCTGCCGGGGTTGTGGCACCCTGCCTGCCATTCTCCACTCCACCTCCTATTTGCTGCGTGTTCTGATTCTAGACCCACAAAGAAAAAAAAAATGAAGGTCTAATGGCTTAAAAGAAAAACACTGAAGCTACAGGATTACATACAAGAATATCCTCTGTGGGGGGGGAATGCTGGCACAAAAAGGGCTCTCTATGACAAGCAGCTGCAGTTTTGCCAGGTTAAATCCAGACAATGCAAGACTTCACAACCTCGCTGGGCAACCTGTGAGGAATGCTTGGAATGGAAAGCTGAGTATTTCCCTTGGGGGAAACGTTGACCCCAAAAAGGCTCTTTGCTCCGTGGAGACGCAATTCTGGGAGGTTAAAACGAGAAAAGTCGCAACGTGACACGCAAAGCTTTGGAGGAAGCCTGCCCGTTACACGGTGACCAACCCTAGAAATAAAAAGTCCTCAAGATCTCTGCTTGGGAGGTCACCGGTAGCTCTTGGGCAATCTCATGGATGGAGAGAGGGGAACACTTGGCTGTACACGACAGCAACTACAGGAGACGGAGCACGGTTTTATAACCCAGCCACGAAGTCTTTACCTCCTGAAAAAACTTCCTTTCCTGGGTTTTCTAACCCCACTTTTTCAGCTGGCTCCGTTGATCCAGAGAAGAGGCCGTCGTTTTGGAGGAAAATCCTGCTCTTCCAGAGATCTTGGTCATTTATTTTTCTAGGAGAGCTCTTCCTGGAGGTCCCCTTCAAAGGACATCTTTGTTCTCCCTGGGGTTGCTGGACGCATTTTGCAAGTGTCTGAGGGCTGACGTTCGGGGTCAGCTTCACACAGGCCAGAAAATGCAGCAGCTGAGATTTGGTTCCTGACCGTGTGAGTGAAGTCAGCCCATAGCAAAGGGCTTCCAAATTTGGGTTTCCAAATTTAATAATAATAAATAATAATAATAAATTATTATTATTATTAAATAATAATAATTACAGATAAATAATAATAATAAATAATAATAATAATAAATAATAATAATAATAAAGATTTCATTGAATTTCGTATTTCCAATCTCAATGGGACTGGAATTTGTTGATTTTCTCGGTGTCGTGGGTTTAATTGGCAAGGTTTTGGTGGCAGGGGGCCACAGGGGTGGTTTCTGTGAGAAAGATCTAGAAGCTGCCCCATGTTTGGGAAGCCCCCTCCCCCCCTCAGTGCCCCCCCCCCCAAACTGAGGCGGCTCCTCCCCCGCTTTACAATAATAACTTTATTTATTTTAACATCTTTAATTACAGACAGTAAAAC